CTTCAGCCATATTTTCATTAGTGGGGGGAAAAAATGGAGAACAGATTCATTTGCCTCACGGTCACAACCAACCCTGTCTGGGTTTATTACATGTTATGCTGTGTGATGGTGCTGGTGTGCCATCTAGTGGAACAATGAGGAAAATCCCATCACACCGTTGCCTAAAGACACCTATACTGTGACATTCCCTGCAAAAACGTCAGCATTTTCAAACAAGGACAGTGTAAAAAATTACAGCTTGATTTTGCGTGTTGATTGCATTTTGTAGCATTCGGGTCACAAGAGAAAGCGTGCAGTTGCAGTACGTCTTTTGTTTTTCCCACAGGCTCAGCTGACATCCACGAGTCTGTGACTTTAAGAGATGACCAGGACACACTGCAAAGCTTCCATGAACACTCAAAGTCTCTTTGTTATCGGCTTCATAAAAACAGGTGCTGGAGGGGAAGAAGCACAGAGCGATTTATGTAGCAGTTTATTTTTTGTTTGGAGGTCTTTGATTTTGCAGCCACTCGTTTCACATGATGTCTAGTTTCTCCAGACAACTGGTGGTTCTTTTATGGCGATATGTTTGCTTTGATGTTCGTTTTTTCACTTTTTCTCCTTTTTTGCAAAAATAAAAAGAAGACTAGAGGGGAAAATGGGGGAGAATCGAAAAGAAGCTGTTTTCTGGTTTATATATAAATAAATAAATAAATAAATAAATAACCAATCTGCTTAAGAAAGTATTTAATAAATATCAGACAAAAGCCACCGTAGCCAGGCCTCATTTGCCATCTATTAATGTTTTATTTCTTGCACTTCCACAATCAGTTTTTTAGAGTTAATAGGCCGAGGTGGGTGCATAGTAAAAGCATTTTTGAAGCAGTCTATGATGTCAAATATTTAGATGCTGTGACTGATTATAAATGAACATGTAAACAACATTATATTATAGCTAAAATATCAAATTAAGAATGTATTAGATTGCAGTGCCCTACATATCATTTACTGTTCACTTATACGTCCTCATTTTCCTTACTGTTGGAACTGTGGGGATCTTTTAAAATATGACTCATTAACAAGGCTGATTATTACGATCACTCTGAGCCGCTGTTTCTGAGGTCCCATATAACTAATTTCAATGATTTGTTGTTTTTGAAAGTAATGCAAATAATGTTTAAAGCGAAATCAAAGTTACTCCCAAACTGCGTACAAAGGTTTTTCTGACTACGGGAGAGTAAATATGTTTTGTCAGATTTTTGTAAGTTGACTGTAAAAAAAAAAAAAAAAAGCAAAGAAAGAGATTAAATGAAGATGTATTTCTGTTGTTGATGCTGATATGTGCATAAAAATGTGCAATTCATTTGCAGTCTGCAAACAAATGTTCTACAAATATATTTTTGAGCGTCATATGTGAGAGTATTGTTGCTGTTCTGTTTGTTGATGTTATGTCGTTCTAGTCTTTCTACTTGGAAGGTGCGGTACTTTTAAAGATAGAATATAGGCCGAGCATTAATTTAAGCACTGCCCCACCCTGAGCCTGTTCAGTCACTATTTGTAACATGGATCTCATATGAACTGTTTTGTATAGTTTGCGTAAATGTGATGACTGAATGAACGATTAAACATCAAATATTATTTTTTTATGTCTCACTTTTAACCCCATGTATCTATCAGATGATAACGCGGTGGAGTAAATGATTGTTTCTCCTTTAATCTCCTAAAATGATTGAAGAAACTAGAAAATTACACTTTTGCCCTGCAGCAGAAACATGGCCTCTATGCCTCTTTTCATAGGCGGAATAAAATAATGGCTCTTGGGAGGGAATGACAGACATGTGATATAGTTTAAATAATAGCAATTACAGCACGCAGTCTTTCCAGAAAGTGACAGTGCTTTTGGCACATGAAAACTGTTTCAACCAGTTCTGAAACTCACACTTAAAGGTTGAATGGAGCAATGGAAAGACTGTTTTGTGGCATATTATGATAATACATTAAAGTGAAGGTGCAGTGTAAAGTTCATCAGAGCTAAAAAAAAAAAAATTAAAAATTAAAAAGTCATAGCTTAGCTGGACAAGATGTGGAAATAGTGGGGACATAAGATTGAAACAAGAAGGTAATAATGTGGAAATAGTACGTTATTACCACTTAATTACCAAAGTAATGTCTTCTCTTTTCTCTCCTGTCTCCCCTCAGCCCCCAGATACTCACAGCAGATGGCTGCCCCTCCCTCAGCCTACCTTTCTTGGGGTTTTCTCTCTAATATTGTAGAGTCTTGACCTTACAACATAAAGCAACTTGGGGGCCACTGTTGTTGTGTATTTGCGCTATATATAAATAAAACGGAATATATTTAAATCAAATAGTAAACAGCAATAGTTTGCACAGGTGTACCTAATAAAGTGGCCTCTGAGTGTAGCTTCTGTAAGGCTTGAATAACTTTATTCAGCAGGTGGCAGTATTGAGTCACTAAGAGCGAAAGGATTTAGTCCTGTTGCAGCTTCCTGCAGTTAGATCTCTGTGCAGGCCGTCATTAAAATTCAGTCTAACCTATTTGTACACTGTGTGGGACAGCATCACTACAGCCTCGCACATCTGCGTCTGTAGACACATGTTTACCTAAATAGCTGTTTCTTGTTTTTATCTCACTAATATTTGTGATCTGTTCACAGCTTTCTTTCACTCCTGTCTCTCTGACACCCAGAGCCCAACAATAGCAGTAATGCCAGGCTAACAGAACAACTCACACCTCATTCTCCTTGTGCTCTTCTCCGTCCGGCTCTCCTTTGCTAATCCCACTTGCCATGACCTCTGAACCCTGGATGTCATCTTACATAAGAGGCTGATTGAGGGAAGCACGCGGGTGCAGCCTGAGGTGTGTTGTGCCAGCTCGTTTAAGCTCATTAACGGTTACTCTAGGATACAAATAAACAGCTACAAATAAACTTCAGTGGCAGAAGCCGGGGAAACGTATTCCGATTTACAAGCGTCGTGTTCAGCTTCTGGTTCTCTGAATATTTTAGGTTCCAAGGTTTGGAACGTTTCTTGTTTTTCATTTGGCTGCCATAAAGGACACTGACTCTTTAGTTGTGTCTGCATCTGATTACACTCTGAGTATACACTTAGCATAGAACAAAACAGCTGAGGGAAAGAACACACGCTTGAATTTTCTACTGTTTTAAAATTATGTGACCTCCACAGTGGGGTCTCTCCCCAAACAATCACACACACACATACACCCACAGACCCATCTGTCCTTGCTGTATCGGTGAGGGTGAGTCACTCTGCTCCAAATGTCCAGCACGCTGCCATTAAAGCAGATGAATAATCAAACCACTGCTTTGACTAAAGCAATTGGTCTAACACGCGCACACAGTCATAGTTTGTCCTTTGTCCTTCCCGCTCTTGCTTACTTCCATGCTAATATTTGGGGTCCCTCCTCCCAGCGAGCACGTCTTATGATTATAGCTGACAGGGTGTACTCTGCGGTGGTAGATTTTCTGCTGTTCTCAAGTGGGACACATTTTTAGCAATAGAAATAGTCTTGCAGCTTTGTGAAGTCAGTATATTGCTCTTGTTTTCTTTCCAGAGAACCAGCAAAAAAAACCTCTGAACCAAAAAAACTCCCAAAAAATGTGTCTTCAGTATTTTCCCCCCACAAATCAAAACCTATGTGACTGAAATTGAACAAATGATCTCCTCTTGTCATCCTCTCGCTGTTAGATCTGATTGCAGCCTTCCACAGCATCAAAGGCATTATTCCAATCCACCTGCTAAAGCTTAAGTGGCTCACTGGTTCTGATTTGGACTTGTATTACTGATATTTTCCAGTCAGATTCCACTGGGATTTCTTGTTCAGCTTCTTTTTCCTGAAGGGCTACCCTTTGGATGACTCTTTCCATTACTGTGTTCTTCCCAATCAATTCAATGGTCTACAAGCCACTAAACGTGTTTAGTGGTAAATTAATATTTGTAGTAGCTGCACAACTGTTGTCTGATACTTCCTAACTTCCTAATGAATGGAAGTTATTAGCATCTAGACAGACAAAATAAAAATAAAGCAATAAACAAATGCAGGTTTTATGGATTGCTTCTTGTTTTCCTACACAGTACGGGAGAAAAGGCTGAATGTAAAAGCTTCTTTGTTTCTGTTTTCAAAGAAGAATCACACAAATACAGTCATGAAAAGCCGTAAAGGGATAAATGTAGGGTTGTACCACATTATTTATGCACATGCTCAAATATTGATGTCTAAAAACAGCAACAGCCCCACCTGAAGAATGAATTAAATATATTTTTGTATTAACAAACACTCTATATGAGGAAAGTTTCAAGGTTAGGTTTCATGATCAGCCAGCAGCACAGTGAAGTGACCCAGTATAGGCACTGGTCCACTTTTAGCTGTAGAATATTTGCATGAAAAAGGACAACATAGAGCTTTAAACTCAGAGTCCTGTGTTTGAACCCACCGGCCTGTGGGGGGATCCTTCTGTTTGGACTTCTACCTGTACCTCTGTGGGTACTCCAGCTTCCTTCCACAGTCCAAAGACATGTATATTAGGTTAACTGGTAATAACTGGTGATTCTGAACTGGCCTTAGGTGTGACTGTAAGCATGAAAGGTTGCCTGTCTCCCTGTGTTGATGGCGAGGTGTTTCCCGCCTCTCGCCCCAGCATGTCTGCAAAGAAAACGGATGGGTGACCTTTTTGCAGTTCAGAAAATTTTAATGAATTTAATCATCATAAATCATAAAAAAAAAATACAACAGATTTATTTTCAAAGCAAAAGCAATATTTGAATTAATTCAAAATAAAAGAAAATAGTGTATTTTATTTTATAGGACCTTGCATAGTATGTAGTGTGCCTGCTCAAGGCAAGCCAAGAGGTGCTTAGGCATCAGGGGACAGCAGCCATGTGACCGTGGTTTCAGGGATTGGTTTAGTGCAGATGTGACATCAGCAAGCCTCCCACTCCCTCCCTCCGCCCCTCTCTCCCCTGGTCTTTCTCTGCCTCTCTCTGCCCCTCTATCTCTCTGTAGCGCTCTGTTTTTTCTCCCTCTGCCTTTCCTCAGCATCCCCCCTCTCAGCGATGGCGTGTGTCAGTGCCGCTCGGCCGTCTGTGGCCTAACGCACACAGAGAGGACCCCTATTCCTCTCCCGATTTGCAGCGCATTCCTCGGGTGTCTCTTCTCCCTGTGTCCTTCACCGCTCCTGCTGCCTTGCAGCTCCCACCCCGCCTCCCCGTGCGGGTGTCTGGGAGTCGGGCCCTCGGGGGTGGAGGAAATCAACATCGTGCTTCGCTGGGGAGCTGTGCAGAATTAGCTATGCCCTGCCCAGGCATCTTTTGACCGGTCGGATTCCTCCATTTCTGCCCGCTTGCAATCCAGAGGGCAGCGTAGGATGAAAATCTGCAATCATGATGCAAGGTAAGTGATGTGTGCACTCCTTTTATTTTCCACGTCCTGTTTCTCAGCGTCCTCCTCCTGCCCTCTTGTGTCCTGCTGGGCCATTAAAAAAAGTGAATGCAGTGATGTGATCTGTCATGCCGTGCGGACCTCTGGTACGACTGAGCTGTATGCATGACCAGTGTGACAATGTGGCTATTGTGAGTACTTGTGCGTATGCGTGTGTGTGTGTGTGTGTGTAAGATTTATAGAAAGGTAGCTGTAATGCCTGAGAAGATGTTTGTGGTGTAGAAAGGGGGAGCTGCCATTCACAGTGGTAAAGTGTGTACAGAGTAATGTCCTTTTGGGTTTGTGTTTGTTTTTGCGTGTGCCTGTGTGTGTATGTGTGTGTGCATGCTAATCTTGCAGTTATGTCATATAAATGTGTATGTAAGGAGACACGTGACCACTCCAAGTAGCTGTACTCATTCATTACTACTAGCTGTTGCTATCAGGTGATCCTTCAGCCTCAGAGCATTTAGTGCATGTCTCATATAAACTGAAGTAAAGGATGCTGTCCTACAGTTAGGTGAAGTACATTATAAACCATCCTGCTCTGCATGAGAGATGCTGGGTCTTTATCATCCATTTGTGCCTACGTGGTAATGGAAGGTGGCTATTATTAGCAGAGGGCCTGAAGTCAACCTAACATGATATTGTACTCGGTTCACAAGCTGGAGGAAACTCACACAGATGTCACAAGCTCACCGTAGCCTTTGTTAGTTACATGTGCACACACTGTTAGCATGTAGTTAGTGACATTTAGTGAGGTCTGGACTAAAATATAGGTGTAGTAATATGCTTCTTGGGCTTAAGATAAAATGTACAGGTCCTCTCTATAAATCAGAATCATTGATTGCAGTAGTGTGGGCAGTAATCTTGGCCAGGTGGCCTATTTGTACTAGAAGTTTATGCTTTAAAGACCACATTGCTAGTTTTACAAGTTTCAGACACTTAAAAAAATGTAATTCCTGCTGATCATTTTCCATGGCATACCATAAGGTATCAAATTGATCTTTTCTTCCAGGCAGGAGTAAATGTCAGGAGTGTATAAAAATCAACTTGCAGAAACTTGAAACCTACTTGAGATAGGGCTGGAAGCGCGTAAAAAGAAGAAAACCAAGGGAGTGGGTGGAAAGGATGGACGTCGTGGAAAGGGCAGAATTTATTGTCTGCTAACATAAAGTTAAGCTACTGTAAGAAACTGTAAATATCTAAAATACTGAACAAAAGTCAGAGGATAAGATGTGAAGAGAATGCAGAGAAAACCTGTTCAAACTGCTCATCGGAGCAGAACTGTTCTTTTTCCTTCTTTATTTGAAACCTCCTCTGTGTCACTGGTAACAGCGGCATGCTAGTTGAGCTACACGCAACTGACAACCAAGATAGCTGACTAGCTGTTTGTTTTAGGGATTTACACAAATTATGGATGCCATTCTTCTGTTTATCGAGGTTTGCGTTTATACAAACTGTGTCATAGTCTGAAAGAACTTGACAGTGAATCCAAGGCATCGTTCTTGACAATACTTTGTCTAAAAACATTAGTCAGTTTCCACTGTGAACATTTCTCCTACAGCTTTAGTCTTATCATCTTTCCTAGATGCAGTTTCCTTTGTTGTAAATAACTATGTGTAGATGTCAGTGTGTAGCTTTCTTCTTGAGCTTCCAGCTGTATCATCTGCTAATTAACTGTGTAAAATGTAGAACAACAGTATATAGTAGAGAAGAGACTACAAGCTGCAGAACAGACACTGCAAGGATACCTGAGGTTAAATTTGGTCATATTAAGAAAATGATATAGCTGTAAAAAGGCTGAAAGTCTTATAGCACATTACCAATAAATGCAAATCCATTTGTATTTCACGTGCAGAGTAAAAAAAACCCCAAAATAACTTGAATTTTAATCCTCGATTTTGAAAGTGGAATAATGGCACTATAGGGAAGTTACATAGTTAAATTATCAGCAGTAATGTGAAGAACATGTTATTTGTGAGTAAGTAGGGTGACGTGTGAATCCATCACTTTGGTCCTTGGAAATGTTTTGCAGAATTGTGTCTAAAGATTGTGTGTCTGTGAGTTGGCATGAAGGAGACCCTAACTCAACTATATTTACAGCTAGTATCATTAATTAGTATGATGCCTCTGTTTAATGAGGCTCTCCTCAGGCAAACTCTGTAAATGGGTTACAAAAACAACACAGTCCTGCTGTGACGCACAGTGTGATCTGCATCGCTTTGCAGTCAGTCTGACCAGACCTCTTGTACTCGCTCGGCGTGTCATACGTAGTCGTTCAACAGGTTTGTTACTCATCAGTGTTGGGACTGATCTTTACCAACAATGTCACATGCAGGTTAGGACTGGAGAGAAGAATCGTGGTACAGACCTGTGATTGACTAACAAAGAGACAGGATGCAGGAATAATATTTGCCAGTCGAGCCACTAATACGTCACATCACAGACCCTGTCAGAAGAACGTGAATGCTACTGATTAACATTTATAATATTTGTTAGGATTTAAGTATGAGTGAAGGTAATCACCACATCAGTGACTCGGTATTCATTTAATTTTGAAATGAGTTTCTCCTGTTTTGTGTTTATCTTAACGACACAATATCTGTGACATGAATTAAAAAAGTAAGGCGCAAAAAAAAAAAAAATTAAAAGCGGTAAGTCTGTTTAGAAAATGTGATCCAGTTTAAAGCACAGCATGCAGATTACACAAAGGGATGATGAGCAGAGCAACACACAAACGGTATCAGCTGCTTCTGAGTGGCACAAAATGTTCATCCTCCCAACTGTTCATCACACGTGTCCCTGTCGCTCTGGATTTGACTATCAACTGCGCTCACTTCTTCTAAAACACAGTTATGCAAACCTGTCGGTTGCTTATTTGGGGGGGGGGAAAGAAAATGCGTGCACACGCACTCAAACTCACACTCAAACACACACTTTTTTTTTTTTTAAAGAAAACTGCTCTTTGTCAGAATTTGTGTAAGGTGTCTTTCAAAGATTTTTAAGTGGAGTGCATTTAACTTTACACTTATTCAGACTTTTTATTTAAGTGAAAAGTTACATGTTATAGTGTAATAGTACGCAAGTCAAAATACATTAAAATACCTAAAGTCACTCATCTTGGTTAACTGCACTTTCTGGAATATAAGTACGTTGAATTATTGAGCCAGAATAAGTGATTCATTACTGTGACTATCACAGTAAGCGCTCTAGACCAGTGATGTTGGACTGGAGCACTTTTGACCCATTAATTCACTCATTAAACAAAAGAGTACTTTATCTTTAATTATACCAGCAAACAGCCTTCATAGATAACACCCAGAGAATTTTTGTTTAGCATGTTAGCTAATTCTCTCCGCTTTGTATTACTAATTAGAGAATGTTAGCATGCTAACATTTTATGCTTTAATTTGCTAACATGTTAATAGATGTGATGAACTCCAAACATCAGAATGCTAACACTGTAAATGCACTTTAAGCTAAAGTTATTATTAGTCAGGCCTAGGTAGCCTCACGGACCTGTTAGCATGCTAGCATGGCTATAGACTTGATGTAATTTTTAAATCAATACACTCCTGCAGCATGGAGCATCATTAAACAACCTCCAGTTATTTTTATTGTCAGTTGATAATAAGTGCTCCAAATTACATTTGCATACAGCATGTTCTGTGTCCTAATCATTTCAAAAACCTTTGAAAAATCACCATAAGGTGAAACAGAAAAAACGTTTTTCTTTGTGTTTATCGTTCTGATTGCATCGCTGCATGTTGCCAGCCGACAGTGCTGCAGGACTTTTGGCATTCAGTTTGGCTGATGGGACGCTGTACTAGATCCCTGGCTGCTCTGCTCTGAATCGTGCTAATGAAGTGAACACATTGATCAACGGTTGTTCATTTTTTCTTAACAGCCTACATAGTCAGGAAGGGGACACTGCTTCGTTTTATGTGGAGGCTCTCTCCAGATTGCCTGGGGTTTGTTCCAAATCAATACGTTAATTTTTATCTCCGTATTGGGGTTACTGTAACTTCTCTGTATCCACTAGCCCGTACTCATCCCCAGGCTCTTATACATCCAGCCCATTACTCTTCTTTGTTATTTGCTTTCAAGTGCATTTTAATGTCTAGATAGTTAATTTTATATTTGGCTATAACAACTTCAAATGAGTTCTTAATGATAATGTTCACGCGCTCCTTTCCTGTGTGTGTTTCGATGCTAGGACTGAAAAACCGAACCAGGAAAGCCCTGGGCTTACGAAAGAAAGACAAGGACAAAGAAACAACGTGAGTTTCCTCAGACACTCACTGGTAACAGGAGAAAATCCCTAAAACACTTTGAGAACTCATTGGTTTGAGAATGTGAATGCATAGAGATGTAAAACAACCCAAACTACTGCTATGACACTAATAAAGTTCTTGTTGGATTTATAAAATTATAGGAAATTTTGTGCTATAGGTCTATGCGGTACCTGCAAAAGATACCAAAAATAATCTGAGTACCACAACATGGGTATTTTACATTAAATAATTTAAAACAAGACCCACTTTTTTAAAACCACATACAAATGAAGAAAAATCTACTGGTATACTGGTACCTAATTTTTCCATCTGCTTGTTTTGTCAAACAGGAGCTCACCTGACAAAGAAGGAAGTGGAAGTGGAAAGAAAGGAAGCGTACGTAAATACACAATGAAAGTGTTTCCTTTAATTTACCTGGGTTTTTTTGGCCCTCTAAGTGTTTGTGACTGTTTAACAGAGGAAACTATACCTAGGAGATTATAACAGCACAACAGGAAACTACAGCACAGTGACTTTAACAAGATTTAAACGGATTAGTTGGAGGTCTCTTCCTGTTAAAAGGTAGTTTTTCTGCACCGCTGTTTCCAAGTGTTGCTTTTTGGGGATAAAAATTTCATTTGGGTTCTTTCTTTACCTGGACATATAAACACTTTGGGAAGACTGTTAACTGGTGCTATGAATAAAATTACATTTAACTGAACCGGGCCTGCAGCAATAATTTATTCTGATTATGGTACATTAAAAAAAATCTAAAAGTATATTAACAAAATATAATTTTTGATATTAAAAGAATTTTAGTTTAACGTCATAAGCTTTTATCGTTTTGCCTTCTTTATGATCTCCGTTTTGATAGAAAAAGGCCAACGGGGCTCCCAATGGTTTCTATGGGGAGATTGATTGGGACAGATATGTAAGTATCCACAGCCTACACCTGCACATTTTCTCTCTTTGTCTCTCTTTTTGCATGGACTCTGCAGCTCTGGCATTGGAAATACTTGCAGTGCTGTGCTGTGCAATCAGTGTCATGTGACGCTAGGTTTAAAATTACAGAGTAAAGGGTACAAATGTGTGTGAGTTATGGCGGTGCATAATCTGTGAGTCAGCAGGAGCTTCATCTACCAAGTGGAACGTCTCCAGCAAGACATCTGTGAAATCTAATCTGCATTTCTATGCGCTGCTGAAGAGTTTGAGAGTGGCTAGAAACGACTGTCACCATTTCCCTCTCGCTGTCTCTCTTTTGCAGGCCTCTCCTGATGTAGATGAGGAGGGCTTCAGCCTCCGGCCTGGTGACGAGGGTGATGATATCCTTTTAGTCAGAAGGAGAAGTAGCACTCTTAGGAGTCTTTGCCAGCAAAAACTATTGATCTGTTTGGCTTTGTGACTCATTGGTTGAGTGCTTCTCAGCATTAAATAGGCCAAATCCCTGCGTATGTGCACCCCTGCTGCAAGGCAGCCGGACACAGCCACATTAGGTCGAACCGGCTTTACAATTGTCGCTAAACCACAGTTCTCATTAACCACTGACGCTCAGTTCTGCTCCCACAGGTGTCAGCAGTGGGAGTATATGTTTGAACTGGATTCATAGATAGTTGACACTGTGGAGACCTTCCCTGAGCAGGAAGATTTAGTGGAGGCGGAGAAGGAGTGTCAGTTACAGCAGTTGTAATACTGGTAACTGGGACACAGAATGGATATCTCACTCCTGTCCTGCACCGTTGTCCTTGCTTTAAATGCTACAGAAGGTTGAACTATCTGCATTTTTGTACAGCATGTTGTACTTCCTCCTCTTTGCCCTTTACAAGTGTTCACCAGCCTCCAAAGAAAAGCACTTTTTCTCGTCCAGCGACTCAGAGGATGATGAGGACAGCAAAAAAAAGTTCAAAATTAAGATCAAGCCGCTGGTGTCAGACAGTGCCAAGTGTGTGCTTCCATCCATGGACGAGCTAAAAGCGTCAGTGGGAGGCCTGGCGCTGTCCCCGTCTCTGGTGAGTGCTGCTGATCTGCAGTCCTGTTCTGCTGCACAGTTGTGAAGAGCACAATAGTCACGCTCAATGCAGTTCATATACTTTACCAGCTGCTAATTTCTCTCAAATCTGTTTGACTCTCTGCCTGCGCTTGTCTTTTCTTCTCACTTATTTGCTGCCCTCTTGTAGAGGAGAAGTCCGGTAAGCCTGTCACACATTTTCACATCTGTATCAGCACCCTGACAGATGGCATGAGATGTGGTGAAAACGCTTGATAACGTGTTCCCTCCTGTCGTAGTGATCTCGTAGACTGTCTTCGCTGGCTTTTTTTTTCCTGGATGCACTTTCTTTCCCAACCTCACTGCCTCACAAAAATCACAACTTTCTTTTTCTTCTTGCTTCTGTTCCTTCAGTTTTTTCCTGCTCAGCGACAGCTCTACTTAAACCTTTGTGGCAAAGCGTGTGCGTTACATAATGCAAAGCAAACCTAACACACATACAGTTCCAAACCCGTTGATCTAGAGACCCTGCTGTCTTCGGTGTGAGGCTGTGTGCGTGCTGATTGTAGGTGATGCTCGTATTGTCCGCATAATCTCCAGGGAGTTACGGCTCATGCTGCATTATTGAGGCTTTGCGGTTAAAGTAAAGAGATGCGGTGTGTGTAGTTGTAGTTAGTGTCCATTTGACTGATTTGTCACTCACTCTCTGACCCAGGTCTGTTCTCTCTTCCTTTTTGCTGGTCTCAGAGACGCAGTCCGGTAAGTTTTCCCTCTGCTGGCTGTTTTACCACTGATAGCCCCAAATGCAGCTTTCTGATCTCCGCTGCCTTACTCTGTACAATGCAGAAAATAAAGAGAAACATTTTTACCTCAGGCTGTAGTGCTGTTCATCCGTTGTTTAGTTAGCGAGTTGCCTTGTCCACCAGAGATACCGACGGGAGAAATTTCCGCCTTCTCATGAATACGTGACACTTGACTTTTGCCTCTCAAAGCTCCAAAAAATGTACCACAGCTCTGCAGAAGGGGTACGCCATTAATGTTTACACCTTGTCATGCTGTCATGTCAGCATGAGCCTCCCATCACGGGTAGATGCACACTTCCCTCTGCTGACTGACACAGTTAGCATGTGTGCTTCATTCACGAAAAGACTCACAAGAAAGTATGTATATTTTTCTGATGATCATTTCTGGAAGGAGGCATTTCTGCTTTTCAGATGCTTTTTTTTTTTCGAATGGAGTTGGTAGTTATGATTTGGCAGCACTGGACAAAGCACAGACTTCTCAAGCTGATGTCTCCAATTCTGTTCAAGTCACACCAAAACTATCAAGACTGATGAAGAGCACTTAAGCCAGAGGAGTAATACACAAATTAGATTTCCTATAATCGTACTGTGTTTTGATATAATAAGAAAGAAGAACATCTTAAAGGACTGAAGATCATGTGTATTTGTATACGGTGTATAATATGATCTGTAGCCTTACTTTTTCTTTTGTTTGGATTTCTTTTTTTTTTCTTTTCTTTTTTTGCAGGGGCAGATGAAAAGGAACTTGTCCTGTAAGTACACATCTCTAAAAATCACTTTTTAAAATTCCTCCCGTATTCCTGTACTTGTGCTCATAACCACATTGCTACTGCACGCATATTAAAGAGGATATATTATGCTCGTACCCAGCTATTTGAGGAGCTTTGCATGACTCAGGGTTCAAAATAATCATTATTTAACTTATTCTAAGCGTCTGTGTAGTCATTTTTTTAAATTCTATGTCTGAAACAAGCCTTTTAAGCATCTCTTCCTTTAAACCAACTTTCTTCTGATTGGCTGCCACTTGTGAAAAAAAGGTTTGAACAGTTGGTGGATGGGACTTCTCCACTCCTAACCAGAACAACATAACAGTAGTCTCAGCAGAGCAGGAGCTGAGCGTTTGTTAATTTTCTTATAGGTGAGGAGATCGCTAGACCCAGACGCTCAACCCCGATACCGAGTCCTGCCCCAGAGACGCAAAGGTCTGTCATCCTTTTAGCAATGTTGGCAAATTAAACGCTTCTTTCATTAAGATGGTATGCTATTGCTCTGCTTCAGATGTCCCTTGAGCAGCTATGTGTGCTATTTTTTTACTTGTTGCATGTGTTTTTTTGCAGTGACAGGCTGTCACAGAACACTCCTGCCTTCTTTGAGCTGCCTTTAGAGAGAAAATATGCCAGATATGACGGTCAGTCCTCCATTGATTGGATATAACTTTACCCAAATGAATAAACTCCCTTTACAAAGGTGACACTGTTCCCCCCTTTATCCAATGACAGTGGTACCTTCGGATGCGTGGGGAGATTCTAGACCCCGATCAGAATCACAGCTGAGCAGAAGTTTTCCAACAGGGGGTGAGCAAACATGAGTGAACTTTATCTCTGTTGTAATTTGTGTTTCTAAAGAAGTTGTGCTGACCTTGAATTGTTGCACCTGTCGCAGCTCCGCCTCCACTCCCTCCAAAAAACATTCCATCGAGAAGTCACTACGGCTATCCTTCAGAATCTGCTGGTAAATTTATTTTCAAACATCAGTCAAGAATATAGTTAGATCAGTCAGCTGTGATCTCACTTCTCCAATATACTCTTTGCAGCCGATCTACCCAATGGGAGGGCGGCTCGCAGTTCGGCACCAATCTACCTGAATGTCCTCTCCCCAGCCTCTTACCGAGGCTCCCCTGCCCCCGACCTAGACGACGTCTTTGGACCCACGAGTGAGGACACCATGTCTCCCAGATGGGTTACTTTCACTGATGACAGGCCCCCACCGCCTGATGAACCGGCTCCACCTCCGCCACCGGACTCTCCTCCGCCAGACACACCTTCATCCACCCCTTCCACCCCCTGCCTCTCGCCTGGACCACCTCCAAACGAACCTCCACCTTCACCTCCACCATTTTCCCCTGGGTCTCCTCCTCGTTTCACTCCGCCAGACTCGCCTCCCTCCATCCTACTCGGACCTCCTCCGCCAGATGAACCCGCCCCTCCTCTGCCCCCAGAATTCTCCCCCTCTAATTCCCCTCCTGGGTGCCCTGAAGAGGATGCTATTGATGAGGAGATGCTGCAGTTTGCAGAGTACTCTTCCTCCCCTGCCCCCATTAGCCCTGTGCCTCCTCTGCCAGCGGAGCGTAGATCCCCTCGTGCTGGAGTCACATCTCCGCTGGTCCTTGGGGGTTTAGGGGGTAAGAGGACTCCAGAAGGTGTAAACCTGAGAGAAGATGTACCAGACTTTGTGGGTTCCCCCAGAGAGCTGACGCCAAGCTTCAGGGGCACGCCACCTCCTCTTCCTCCAACTACCTACAGGTCTATCATGTCTTCCCCGGGACCCTACTCAGGCAGCAGTGAGTACTCTTGTGTTGCTGCAAACACGCACAGTGGCCTCTTCGAGATTCATTTACACCAAGCACGATTAATGTTTTTTATTTAAATTCTGCAGTGTCCTTTAATTTTGTTTGCTTTGAAAAAAGTGAGAATGACGAGGCCACCAGCACAGCCACAAAAATAAAAATCACAGAGATGAGCAGGTCAAACTTTAGTGACATCTAGTGTTGTGATTCTGAAATGACAGCGTTTTGTTTGTAGTGCATAACAGGTCTTATCTTTCCAGAAATATAATGTTGATATTTTAAAGGGGGACTGCTGAGAATGCTTAAATGGTCTTGTTTAACATATACCATCATTCAACTGGTGAATACCGAGAACAAGCATCCCACATCAGACCAGTATGAAAATTACAGGATGCTTTCTATCAGCACAGAGATCAAGCGGTAACGTCTTCCTACAGATTTTTTCCCCCCCGTGAATCAGAAGAACACCTACAAAAATCTCAACAGCAATTTTATTTCATGCCAGAACCAACCAGAGTCTCGCACAACAGTTTCTCTCCAAACACAGCTGATAGAAGGGAAGTGCGGCAATAAAAATCTCCGTCACTGTGAACTGAAGGCTGTGCTAACCACAGACACTGGTATGTGCCACAGGCCCCTCATCTCCAGCTCGTCCTACCACACCTCAGTCTCGAGGCAGCCCAGTCCCTCCGCCTCCTCCTCCTCGTCCGTCCTCCCGACCAAAGCTGCCCCCGGGGAAACCGATCACAGACCTGGTATGTGGGAAAAGCCCTTTCTTTTCTTTTACCCTCTCTCTCTCCCCCTCATTTATCTTTTGTTCCTGAGACTGTGTTTTTTCATTCTGAACAAAATAACTTGTGTTACATCTCCAGACCCGGCCATTCAGTCCGCCAGTTTCAAGCAGCCCCCCGCCTTTTGCCCCCCTGGCCCGGGCAGAGAGCTCTTCATCAATCTCCTCCATTACCTCACAGAGTGCAGCGTCCACCCCAACTTTAGGAAGGGACCTCAACTTGTCCACCACAGGTATGCTACCAGCAAGATGGCTGTCATGCTCGTCTCTGCGGCTTAGCTGCGCATCTCAGTCCACATGTTGTCTGTCACTCATCGTGTCCTTGCCTCACAGTCTTGTCCCTCTCCATGATTCTCTCTTCCTGATGTCTCTGCTCACTCAGAGGCCTCGCAGCCTCTGGTATGGTTTGACCACGGCAGGTTTTATTTAGCTTTTGAAGGTGAGTTGAGCTATAGTGCTGCTGTAGTGACACCAGTGCATGCACTGTACGCACCTGCCCCGTTTCTTTACTGGCTGTGTCCACAAGAGTGCTGCCACCCATCCCCATCTCCTGCTCACTTACTTAGAATCCAGATCCATGATCGAGGCTTTGGTTTTGCTTTAATTGTTTTTGAATTATTCTGTCCTCTGTGTGTGAAACCTACTTTCAGGCAAGTAAGATATAACCCAACTACGGTTTTATAAGGAGATGTTATAGCAGTGTCACTTGTGTTTATGTGTGTTTTAGGGTGCTCCAGAGGTCCCAGTCCACTCACCATGGGACCCCAAGACACTCTGCCAGTGGCAGCTGCCTTCACAGAAACCATCAATGCCTACTTTAAAGGCGCTGACCCCAGCAAGTAGGCTTACATTAAAAATGCACTGACATCATGTCAGCATGGATTTATGCTAAAACTGAAACACTGCACTGCTAATAATTGCAGACAGGGGAATGTTTCTAAGGCAGACGGGGCTAGGTTGTTTTAAGCCTAATTAGGTTCTTTGTATTCAGGGGATCTGTGAGCTTTATATTTTGTTTAGTTTGAGTCCTCTCTCTGCCTCAGATGTGTTGTGAAGATCACAGGGGAGATGGTGCTGTCCTTCCCCGCTGGCATAACCAGGCACTTTGCGAGCCACCCAGCTCAACCTATCCTCACTTTTAGCATCAGCAACTACAACCGACTGGAGCAGGTCCTCCCTAATCCACAGCTGCTGTGCTGGTAAGATGAAGATTACAGACAAACATATATACTGGAGCGGACAGTTGCCCATTTTTATAGTCCAAACAAAAGAGATTCATAGTGTTACTTCATGCTGGCTGAATCAAAGATGTTCCTCTCATCCCTTAGTGATTCCACTACAGACAGTGTAGACAGAAAGGAGTTCTGGGTAAATATGCCAAACTTGATTAGCCATCTAAAGAAAGTGGCTGAACAGAAGCCTCAGGCGACATACTACAATGTGGATATGATCAAGTATCAGGTATATAATATCCGTTAATATTCACGGATGTGTTTTTATATTTTTTTTCTATCTATCCAGTTATCTCACTGTCTTCTTTGTCTTTGCCATTTAGGTCTCAGCAGACGGGATCCAGTCCACTCCTTTGAACCTGGCAGTGAGCTGGCGTGGCGATGGCACCAACATAGACCTTAGAATAGACTACAAATACAACACGGAGGCTCTGGCTGCCCCGGTGCCGCTTCACGACATCAACTTCCTGGTTCCTGTTGATGGAGGCATTGCCAAACTACAGGCCATGATCCCACCTGCCACCTGGTGAGGATTCCTGGTGACAAGGACTCTTAGTATGTGGTCGTATTGAGATGCTAAGGCCGAGCTAGTATTGTAAACTGAACAAACTGACGTGTATGTTAGTGCATCAACCGTCTACCTTTTACCATCTATTTGTAGAAACTAGGCTATATTATTTTCATACTCTGTATTTATATAAGTCTGTATTATTGATATGCACTGCATTCATAGTATTATTATATCTGCTGTTTAGAGTACATGTGAGAGAGTAACATGTAACATGGAATTTCTTTCCTCATATAGGAATCCGGAGCAGCAGACAATACAGTGGAAAATCCCAAGCCTGTCTCACAGGTCTGAGAATGGAGGCAAGTATTCATTTTTGCCATGTTCATAATATTTAACATTTTTAATTTCTACTTCATCTTCTTCTTCTTTGGATTTTAAAAGTAAAATCTTTTGGTCCCGTTACACAAATATCACATGTCTGGCAGGAGTAGGGGCTCTCCTGGGCCGGTTCCAGATGATCGAGGGTCCCTGTAAACCCTCCCAGCTGACAGTCCAGTTCACAAGCGAAGGAAGCACTCTGTCAGGCTGTGACATCCAGCTGGTCGGGACTGGCTACCGGCTATCATTGGTCAAGAAGAGATTTGCTGCAGGTCAGTTTAAGCATCAGAAACAGTGGCTGACTGTCTTCAGTCTGTGGTTTGTTAATATAAATGCACACGGACACTTCCCAACTATCTGACATGTCTTATTGTGTTTCACAGGGAAATATTTGGCAGATAATTAGCGGACCTGTTTGCGAACAGAACCAAGAAAATCAATGGCTTTTGACTGTGAAGACTATGGATCATCCCATGTTTAGTGCATTTGAAAATTTATCTTTAGGAGCCATTAGATTTAATGGCTGGAGTTCATTAGAGTAACAGATAACAACACAGAGGTGAAATGTGACATTCTCGGTCAACTGACTGCTGCTGAGTTTATGCAAGTAAATACAAGTCATTAGTTTTGTGCACTTGGAACACTTATGAGCTTATATAGAGTAACGTTTAGGGAAACCCCAAGTCTATGTTCTTGTTAACTTAAAAATAATTGTGGATTTCATACAGTGATCCAGCTTTATTTGTTCTATTTTCCTCTTGTTTCACGGGTTATCACTTCGAATGCACTCTTAAAGATGATGTGAATAATTTGTATGACAAAACAATCTTAAACGAGGTGGAAAAGATGGAAAACGTTTTAACATAGGTTTGCTTTGCAGATGTATTCCAATTAGTTATAGTCACATGGTACTGTCTGATTTGCACTGCCACCTTTAAATCAGATGTTTTTTGTTTATTTTCAACATGTGTGACTGTCGTGATTGTTGTCCAAGCAGAATGTATTCCTCTGTGTGGACAGCTTTGACACCGTCATATCCCTTTTATCTGTCTTATGATTAAAGGTGACAGTTTAAAATGACCTGCAGCACTGGAAGAACATCAGCACTATGAATCCTAAGGTGCTCTTGACATGGAATTATGTTTGCGCCTCAGTCCTGGGAACTTTAGGGAACAATTTGATCATGGGTCATGATCATTTCCTTCTAGCACATAAATTCGATTTTGTAGGGAAACTTGTCACAATAATAATTAGAGCAAATAAAACTGTTTGCTCTATGATTTGTATGCTTGATCCATTTAATCATCATAAGCCCACGGTAACCAAGATCCAAACTTAATGCTATTTTGCTTCCTTAGACTGAATGAACCATTTTGACTTGGTTAGCAAAGTTACATTTTGATTTATAGTCGTCGTGAGTGTTTTGGATTATTGGAGCTATATTTGTGGCCATATTTGTATGACAGGGTTGCGGGCTAAGTTCGCTGTAGGTTCACTCAAGTAATATAGAGCAGAGACTTCTAGGACATGATGTGCAACATGGCAGGAGATTTGGCAGATGGCTCAGAGAATGATCAAAAAGACACCCACATGCACGACGGGTCCAGTTCCTATTAACTGAGGTGGTGCCTTGCAGAAAACGAGTGGCATAGTTAGTCCACTGAGGACACCACTGTCATTGGAAATGAAAAGTTTTTTTTACTAAACTGTAAATGTTAACGGTGGAAATCACCAGACGGTTGGGTGAAAGTCACATATCTGTTGATGTCTTCACAGACAAATTCACATTTGAGCCGATGTGAGTTTACTAACTAACGTTATCTCAGGATGATGGTGGTTGAGCTGAGCGCTTTTGTTCGTAGTATTCAGAGTATTTTCATTCATTTCGTAAAATATCGATATTTGGTGTTTACGTATTGATAAAATACTGCAATAATATGCAGTGTCGATTTTTTTCCCCACCTCCTAGTTTATGGGGATTGACTCATTTTTGGAGGCAGCCTCGAGTGGACGTTAAAGGAACTGCAGTTTTGGTCATTTCAAAGTCAAACATCAGGCCTCAGTTTGTTGAGTGCAAAAGAGTTTCTTTACAAACCACACTTGATGTGCTGGAAAGACTGTGCTCATGGCTGAAGCGCATACATAACGCCATACTTTCACACACACAGCCTTTAAACACTACTACTGGAAGCATTTTTACCATTAACGAGTCGTGTTGGCAGAGAGTTAGAGCAGTGTGACCTGGTGCACAACAAACGCATTGAATTACCACTAAAGGGCAAGTGCAATGTTGAGATACATCAAAGGTCTCACATTACAGGACACAGGTGGAGTTTGTGGTGGTGTTTTGTGGGTAGAATTGCATTATACTGAGCTGACACTTATGTGTGAAGCTGCTACTTTCACTGGGACAGCTTGGGTAATTTATCCAGAAATTATATTAGGAAGTCTAGAGATGCAAGAGTGCCATACACTGAGGAAAAGGACCTTTAAGTTTCCAGAGAAATCTAAAGGGACCAGGGCTATGGATTGTAGGAGTTGCCTTTGATGCTGCTTATAAACTCTGACAATAATCTTTGATGGAGGACATCACAGAGCAATGAAAAGAAGTGTCTATCAAAAAGACAGCACTATTTATTTCCCTGCTTTATTTTCTCCCTTTTCCCACCATGTCGAATAAATGTTTTATCATTTTCTAATAGCAATATTTAAAAGACTTAAGTGTAAAAAGTGTACATAAAAAGCTATGTTTCAAATATTTCTCTGAGCATATGGACGTGTCTGTGATCGTCTCTTGGTTTCTTGATGTCAGCGCTCATAATGCATTTGGTTCTGCGTAACGACACACAACACTCTCTTCATCTAACGTGGGTTTCTTGTAACAAAAAAACAAAGAGAAAAAAAAGAAAGAAAAGGTGTTGATGAATAACTCCAAACAGTGGCGCATGAAATCTGCACCTGTCCATCGCCGGTCTTATCAATGCAATACCACTTTATCCATTTCAGTGAGGTCATGATGTGTGTGTTGTTGTATCAGTGTGCTTTGAGAAGAGACTCCTTTGCCTTCACTTGCGCCTCCATTCTCTATTTTGCTGGTGATGCACCTTCAGAAACTCATTGTCAATCAAATCTGGCATGCGTTCAATGACGTACCCATCCCATGCATCCGATATAGGTGTTTGACATCCTCCTGTGTTTGACTTGCACACAAAAGCACACCTTCAATTTTCTTCATGAAACAAATTGTTGCTTCATGTCACATGTGTGTGTTTCACTTTTTTACAGAGCGTTTCCATGTGTTGACTCACACTTTGGACTCGGGCGAAATTCAGTTCCTTAGAAAAAGAAACATGGCTTTTTTTTGGTTGAGTAAGAACGACTTTTGTTTTTCTTCTGTTGAATATGCTTATATTTTTCTTTGCCTTATTTTTGAGTGTACACTAATATTCCAAAACCAGAGGTTTTCTGTAAGTTTATTTTTTCTACAACTTTTTTGGCTGTATGTATTCTTTCACTGCATTAGGATCAGAATATGCAAACATTTCATGTAAATTTCCCATCCAAAGATTTTGAGAGTAAATATATGAAAAAAAAGTCATTATAATGTAATACCTGTTTTACTTGGTAATAAAGAAGAGGAAATAAGAGTCATTTATCTCCTTCTCATTTGTTCAAAGATGTAAAAATATAACACCTACAGGCACATAACCCGTAACATTAAATGTACAACCTGGCGCTTCAGCGACACTGTAAATTATTGTTTGTCATAACTTAATAGTGAGGTCAAATAGGCTGAAAACCATCATCATCAGTCATCATGTTATATAAATAAACACTCCCAAGCAACTACAAAAACAGTCCTTAGTGGGATTATGGGAATTTTTTTACCCTGTCATGGTCTTATTCCTGCACATGACGACAGTTTATGAAGAAGGATGAAAAAGAGAATGAGCTGCCTAGTTAGTTAAAAATAAACTGTATTATAAGAATATACATAGATATAGATAAAAAGCTTAATTTACTCACATCCAGTTATTTACAAATCATTATCTTTTAATTTAATAGTTATCTTAATTAGATTTAATTATCTTTTAATATTTCTTTCATCTATTCCATATTCTTTTTAAAAATGTATTTAATACACTCTTATCCTATCTTAGAAGAGTGTTTTCCCCCACATATGTTTCTTTTAAGGATGCATTCAAGGATATAATTTTTCCACAGCAGCTATTTGCCGTAAAACACAGGTGTTGCTAATCACATAAATTAAGGATCTGTGCATAAACTGGCCAGAGCATGAATATTATATATTTTTTTATTGTGTTATATGATATTATTAGATTATTTGTAGCTCCTGTGTTTATCTTTTTCATGTCAGTATAACGTTTGTGAAAAGGGTATATTGTTGCCACCTCTGTAACTGTTATTATAATTATTGGCCTCCTTTAATAAAATGCGGGGTATCAAGCAAGAAATATTCAGAAATGGTACTTTTTACTGACATGAGCCTAAAGTGCTTTACAGGAAATAGTTTACCACAACACAACGTTAAAAAGGGAAGAAGATGGGAGATGAAAAGAGTACACAACTTTGCCTTTAACGTAAGGTAAGGTGAGCCTTAAAATTATATCTACTGTAAAATGTAATTAACTCAGCCTCTCGTTTCCAAGCTTGTCTCGGTCGTTCACCTCGCGAGACTTTAACAAGCACTTCACCGGAAACCCCTCCCACAGCTTAATAGACCGTTTCCATAACAACACCAAGCCATACCAGACGACTGGTTCGGCTTAGTTCAAGGCTGGTAAACTGGTAATTTGGCTCAGTATTCTAATTTTATAATCTGTAATCGATTTTGTAATTAAAAACTCTACTTTTCAAACTCGGTCTAGTGACTCTGAACGCAAATGACACATTTATGAGCGTATTTTTTTGTACTTTGTTAGGGTCTACGTGCGACATTCAGGTCATTCAGAACCCAAAAATAAGGAGAAGTGGGGATGTCCGATAAAGAAAAACAGCAAAGGAAAGAGAAGAGGGTAGTCAAGGTGCCTTCTAACGGGAGAGGCAAAGACACAACTGGCAGGACTAAGGAGTGAGTAGACTATTAAGATAATATGGGCCAGTGTCCATCTTTTAGCTTTTTAGCTTCCTGGTAGGTTATGAATGATTTTCAAAACAGCATTCCCAGTGCAGCATGTTTGGTTGTGAAACTGCTGGTCAGTCCACATGGCATTGGTCCTGGTATTCTCTTCAGCATGATTATGTCTTTCAGCTCTATAAGCACTGTGTCATACATTGATGAACTGGGCCACCATGATGACAATGCTCGCCTTGCTCCAACAATGGAGAACACCTACCAGATGGGTGAGTTAGCCTTTTTAATTGTCTACAAAACTGGGGCTGAGTTTTAGGTTCTGGGCATCACAGAACTGACAAATAAACTGAATATATTTTGTTTGATCATTTTAAGCAGAAAAGTAAAAATTCAGCCTCACAGTGGTAAAGAGTGGCCTACTGTTTTGTGTAGGATATAAATTGAGATGGACAAAAATATGAATTTTTCTTCTGTTCACATGCATCCATCATGTTTTTACCCCACCATCAAAACTACTAGACAAATATAAAATGGGATTTTTGTTAGTAATAAATGTTTTCTGGCTTTTTTCGCACCACAGGACCTTACAAACGCTTCCCTGCCAACGCTGCCACAGACATACTTAAAGACGTCCTTACCAGTTACCTCCAAGAGGAGAAATATGAAGTAGAGTGGTCTCAAAAAATGACCAAAACATTGTGCGAGGTAAATGAAGAATAGATGCAACTCTTTCTAAACATGTTTAAATTTCTCCATTATTCAGACTGACTCTTCTTCCAGGTAATAAGAGCTCGCGTGAAGGAACTAATGATCCCCAGATACAAAATTGTCATCCTGGTCCACATCGGCCAGCTCACCGGGCAATGCATGCAGATCAGCAGCCGCTGTCTCTGGGACACGTCTAATGACACTTTCGCCTCGCACTTCTTCAAGAACAGTTCTCTGTTTGGCGTGGCGAGTGTTTACGCTGTTTACTTTGAGTGAATTCTCTCTTTCTGTGCTCTGTTTTTGAGTAGTTGTAAAGAAATTTAAAACAAATCTTAACCAAACCTCACAGTGTGCTTTTTTTTACATTTTATTATTTTTTTTTACATTTTTGCACTCAGAAATGACGTCATCCTTACAGTGTTCTGTACAACAGAGATTATGCCGAATTAGGAGTAACTGTGACAGACTGAGAACTTCCTTGAGATGTTCCTCTGCTCTAGCAGAGCATGGACAGGTCGCTTTTTTGACAACCCTGTTGGCAGCACGTTCTCATCAAGGCCGCGTTTTGGTCCCGCAATTGACGTTCCATTACTGACACATCTATCCACTTTAGGAGGTTTGCCTCTCTGTTGACTGCCAAAGAGGTAAAAATATTTGTTTACTAGAAGTCTCTAATTTAGGTTAGATGAATTTAAAAAGGAAAATAGAGGTGAGTCCATACTGACCTTCTGGGAAAGTATCCTCTTCTCCCATAAATCTTCTCCACCTGGATCCTCCGCAGTTGAACACCACTGCCCTTAGAAAAGCTCGACCGCACAGCTTCAGTGTGTTGGCGCTCTCCTGTGTCTGAACCTGCGCCGCACACAACATGCACAGCAGCACGATGACCAACGGTAGGGATCTCATGTTGATGTTTCTCAGGACACGTCCCGATCGGGTCTTATATCGCACAGCCTTCCTCAGGTGTTTCCTGAGTAAATGCATTATCTATGCATTATCATTGGTGATCATCGTGTGCTTTTAACAGCGGATGTAAATCTGCCAATTTGGGATATGTGTGGGAATCTAAGTCACTGCAAAGATCGCTGATTGACTGCATTTTGGTAAATGTTAAAGGGAAAGAATTGCTCTTTTATGTACGAACTGCAGGGTTTTTATTGCCGTGGATTCAGCAAAGTATTTCATAATGGATCTCTTGAGATATGCGCCCTACGAGATAAAGAGGTGATTGCTCTCTGCATAGCAACGAAGAAGCACACACGGCCGCTATCACTGGCATAAATCAGTGATTCCACGGAAAGACAGTTGCTATTACCGGTACACTTGTTAAATCGAACCTATGTTCTGGGTTAGAGTTGTCATTGCTTGCCCGTGTTTATATGTCAACAGTGGAGGGGTGGTGTTATAAATCGATGTTTTATAGCCTGGTTCAGTTGGAAAAAGTGTAAAATTCGTTTGTTCTTTATGACATTTAAGGTTATTCATAACATCTGCTATGTTTCTCAGGGTTTTATGGGGAGTTTACACATACAGCACTCCTGTAAACTGTGACACATTCACAAATGTTATTTTAATATTACTGTGGCGGACACAGGTATTTCTTTTTAAAATACAGGGGATTTCTTTCTATAAATATAAGTGGGTTTCTTGTTTGCATAGTAATTTCTCGTGTCTTCAGAGAAGAACCCACAAAAGAAAAAGTTAAACAGATTTCACATACACCTTGTAATAATTATCTGATTTAGCAAATTAATATAACAAGACTGAATTCCAGTGGTACATATGTTCTGTGTCTATATGCAGTTTGTTACTAGCAGCATTTTGCAAAAAAATGTCCCTATTTCCTTAGCTGAATCAACAGAAAATAAAAAAGATAACATACTTTGGCAGACATAAAGTTGTATTTTTCCACCAGCAAGGTGTTTACTAAAGAACTATTAAATGCAAACTTTGCATATCTCTGCATAGTGTGTTGTGTGTCCTTAAGTTTTTGTGGAAACTGGACAAGTGGAGGACAAAAGAAGAATCCGGCCTGAAAAAGTGTCTCCAGCAAATGAACAGTATCTGAAAGTCATGTCCTTAAGAAATAGGAAAAAATCCAGCAAAGACTTCACACAGGATCCTAGAGATATATCTGGCACTACAGTTGATCCACCTACTGTTCACTGAAGCCTCATCTGAAATGGTCTCAGTGGAAGGGTGGCTGCCAAGAAGCCATTCTTAAGGAAAGGAATCAAGGAGAAAGGGCTGAGGTATGCCAGATCACACAATAACTGGACTGAAAATCAGTGACTACAGGTCTGATAGAGTGATGAATTCAAATTTGAATTTTACAGTTCAAATTAATGTCAGTATATACAGAGAAAGTCAGGGGACAGGTGCAACAGTGAGTGTCACAGCCATCTGTAAAGCAGAGTGGGGGCACTGTCATGAATTGGGGCTGAAATTCAACCATTGGTGTCAAAATTGATGTAATTATGAAAAAAAAGTGCCATCTGATTTTGTACCAACATGCAAGAGCATATGGACAGCATTTGATTCATGTTGATTCCAAACTCACTGCCAATTCAGTAAAAGCATACCTAAATAGAAAAAAAAAACACAGTACAAAAGTTATCAGTAAGTCAGTCATCGATTGGCCTCCCATGGTCCCAGACCTCAACATTACTGAAGCAGTGTGGGATCATCTTGACAGAGAACAGAACAAAAGGCAACCAACATCCAAAGAACAGCTTTGAATGTTCCTCAAGAAGCCTGGAGAACTATTCCTGAAGACTACTTCAATAAGTTACATTCCCTAAGAGAGTTCATGCTGTGTTGAAGAATAAAGGTGGTCATATAATTTTTTTCAGTTTATTCCAAAAGCTTTTCCACAATTTGATAATATCTCCTGCAAAACTTTAGATCTGTATCTGAGCTCTGGTGGACAGCTTAGGTCCAAACCAGTTAGAACCTCCACACCAGGACACTGGCTGCACACCTTCTTTGTCACATACATCGCCATCACCTTTAGCCTCTGTGTCTGTATTCTCCCTGATAAGAACATAAAACCACTATCAGAAGAAGAAACATGTGACAGTGGAGACATTACAGAAAACATTTGAAAATAATATTTTTAATTTACATTTAAAAGCTGGCTCCATGGTATAGTGGTATTTGATGCCTATGGAAGCCTTTATGAATAAGTGAGAAGCTGAAAGTAATTTTAAATATAAAAGCTGAATATAATACAGTAAAAGGCTTTATAAATTTAAATGTTCCGAATTAAATAAAACACAATGAAAAATTTCCGTTACAATCAAACTAATTTTTTTTTTGTGTTAAGCTTGCTGTTATAGGAGTACATTACTACATCACTGCTTGCGGTCACTCAGTTTTTCTATGGAGACGTAGGTGGGCGGGGCTCCACATACGGGAACTACCGCTGACCCCCGACTTGACCCTGTAGGATTGCGAACATGGCGGAGGTAAGAAAGTGAAATAAATATTCGGAAAAAATAAATTTATACTACGGGATAGTTACTTCAGTCGAATATTCACACTGTTTGTGTGTTGTAGTTTAAGTGTACGAAATTAACTGTGGGATGTTTTCGCTGCTAAATAATGAGCATTTCTCGACTCAGGCATGTTTATTAAACTTCGGGTTTAGCTAACATTAGCGACGCTAGCCCCGTTTGGAGGTAGCAGCAGCGTTAGCGATGTTACTCCGCGGTTTTCTTCGAAAATACTTAACTGTGTATGATATTTTTTATTCAGCCGTGTGGCGGATTTTTATGCTTGGAGATATTTTATGGGTTATTTTTAATCGTTATTTGTTGCCTCTTGATACCAAGCCTAACTTGGACGCGTTAGCATAAATATCTAAAGGAGAATTAACTAGCTTGGAACTTCTCTTGTAAGTTAGCGAGCTGAGAAAATTTACCTAGTAAGCACTTGGCTGTTGGCGCTAAGTTTGGGTGATTGCCGGTGATATACACGGCGCTGTACCTGTGACATTTCAATCAGCGAGTTGCTAAATAAATGTTCCCACAGGAACCGGTGACAGTATTCTTTGTTTCAGTTTGTGTTGAACTGCAGTCAGCTTTAGGACAGGGTCGGGCGCGCTTTTCCCCAGCTCCCGTTTACAGTCCTCTGTCAAAGGAACTAGAATATGTCAAGTTAATCAGCAGTGAGCTTTTTTTATGTTGTTGTTGTCGTCCATCTAATGACGTATTGCATCTGATGCAGTTTTTTTTTAATAGTATTTAAAAAATAAATAAATTATATTTTAATTTGTTGCTCTTTTTCTGTTTTTCAGCCCTCCCTCGGGAATTCGAGCCCAGGTAATTTACATGCAGTTGGAGGCTTTCTGTAGTTGTTTGGTCGAAAGACACTGATTTGAAATCTTTTGTCTATCAGACACGGATTCATTTTGATTTTGACATTGATCGATATTAATCGTGTTCTGTGGTTTGTTTGTTTTAAAAAATATGATTAGTTTGAAACGGAAAATAAATGTATCAAGTTTTTAGGCTTAGGTACCCTCTATGTTTAAGACAACACTGTTTTTTCCTGTACTTATTTTGAAATGAGAAATTAATATTACAAAATACTAATTTAAAAAATAAGTCCGTACTTCTTAATCGGTACATTTTGCTATTATTAGTATTTTTTTAAGCATTGTACTCACCACACCAGCTGCCTTCATCATCTGAAAATTTCTGTGATCTTGACATCACTGTCACAGTTTTTGTATATTACGATATTAAATAACAATGTTATACTAAATAAGATTTCTGATGTGGTATCTCATGTAATGTGGTCGTTTCAGTTCTGCACGCACACACCGTGGAGATTATCAACAATAGCACCTTCAGTAAAAGGCTGATTGCATCAATGTGCAAGTCTGAGCCCTTTTATAACAGTTACTATAAGAATGTTTAATGCATAATAGTAATAATGATTTTATTGATATGTTTGCATATTTGAACATGTTAGCTGGCAGTTTTATTTATATATTATCAACTGATTTATTTAGGAGTTAATATTTTGCTGGTTGGGATATGTGGTGTTATGATTGTGTTGAAACTTCTATGGCAGTGTAATTTTGTGTAGAGGATTCATAAAGGTTCTCTGTCTGATAAGAAATTGCAGTGCAGCCAGTGTAAAAAGTTTTAAAAAAACCCATGAAGTTGAAGTTAAACTGTCAGCCAGCACTGTGAAAAAGGCTTCATCATCATCCTCCATGTGTTCAGCTTCTTATATGTTAAAGACAGATCTGCTAATGTTAGCTGAAGCTCCTTTGGTGAATCAAGCACAATATAGTCTTCAGCTTTTAGATATATTTTGCCTTTGACCGGGTGTTTTCTCAGATGAGATGTGTTACTGTGGCCAGCTTTGCATTTTGCACTACAGATGTAGCAAAGAGCAGAGCAGTGGCTAAAATTAGGCACTGATTGATTTAGTGCTGTCCGTACTACAGTCCTCTGCAGTACTGAAGTAAAAAGTCCTTAGTTTAGTGCACAGTACTTCAAGTAATCCTATGTGGGTATTCAGTTTGTAAGTAGTTCAACATTTATATAATTTAGAATATAATATTTAACAAATTAAACCATAAAGTAACATTTCAGCCGCCCACACTCATACAGTATATGTGAAGATATGCAAATAAAAATACTGAGTGATTCTTTAGAGCTTTACAATTTGTTGCAATTTGTCCTTAAATGAAGATTAAATTCTGTCATATTTTCCTTCTAAATTTCCATTGCCTCTTTCATGCTTCCTTTCATAGGAGGTTCAGCAGGTTCCGATGACCATGATTTTGACCCATCAGCTGAAATGCTTGTCCATGACTTTGACGATGAGCGCACCCTGGAGGAGGAGGAAATGATGGAGGCATCAGATGAGACCAATGCCAATGAGATTGAAGATCTTACACGGGTTTGTGTCAGGAGATCATATTTGGTTTGGTCAGGCCCATGGGGTAAATAAAACACTAGTGTAGTTCAATGTTTATTTTCACAGTCTGTAAGGGAATAATCCTGAGTTTCAAATAGTGTTTGAAAACACTATTTTTTTGGGGGTGGTGGTGGTAATGGATTGACCCAGCCAGAACAATAGTGTAGCTCTACAGCAGGCAGTACAGAGAGAGACAGAGTT